TCCCTACATCTCACTTATTTCTAAACAAAGCTGCAAAGCATGGGGCAAGCTGCAATTCCACTGTGTCTCAGAAACATGTATTTGTCAAGACTACAAAGCAGTCTTCAGGGGAGTGCAGTGCCATGGGTAGGAGGTAAAGACAAGTTTCTTTCATCTTCTCTCTGGAAGAAGTGATTAAGAGCTTCTGTTCACGTTGGTCACTACCATACCTGCCTGCCACCCTTCTCCTTTCCAAACATTCATCACCCCTCAGTGAAAGCTTGCTCCACAGTCCAAATGTTCTCCAGGACAAACCCAAGGAGTTCAAATTAAATTTGCCAATCCACTTTCTACTTTCTTGTATGGTACACTTGGATCTGGATACTCCAGCAACCCAGACAAGAGAAATACCGTGTCAGTCTGCTCCTGAATTCAGTAGCACAGCCAGCCACTGATTTGGTGTCCACAAAGTACACACAGAAGTGCCTTTGCATACCCTCTACATCTCTCTGTTTTTAATCAACGAAAAACACACAACACAAATGCAGCGCACTTCAGTGTCCATCCATCGTAATGGTGAAGGGATCGGCACTGAACAGCCAGAGAGCAGCTGGTAGAAAAGACCTCCCCTGCTCACCAGCATGTAGCTGCTTGGTTTGCAACATTGCAATAAGGATTCAACACGAAGGGATACTGAAGATTCCCAAGAGGACCTTCACCTCCGCACATACCACATTTTCCAGCTTCATTTAGAACACGCTAGTTTAAATCCTCCTAACACAATCAGCACAACAAATAAAACAACCAGCACTACAGTCTTTCTCCTCAGGGACAGTAAAAGAGATCTTGTTCCCTCATAGACCATATCATGCTCTGTATAAACAGGAATAAAACTGGAATAAAACTGTTGACTAGACTGGAGTTATTCCAACAATACTCTAATCAAAATGAGATCACAAGTTACCTCAATATATACAAACAGTGACAGCTGCTGGTTTCTATAGCAAAATATAGTAAATAATTATCATCAGAAATACAAGAAAAAGCAACACCTATGTATGATTCAACTACATGCTTCCACAAAAATTACAGGTTCGTAATTCTCATTAATTCAACTCAACTAAATGAGTGACAGCCAAGCAGCAAAGCCAGCAATAAAATACTACCTCAAAATCAATCACAAAAGTAACAGAAATTCCTACCAAGTTTGTTAAATTGACACCCATTTTTAAAGTTTTAAACAATTTTTAAAATTGTATTAAAAAAGTATAAAAGAATATGATTTTCCAGTGTATATAACCATAAAATTGCAATCTTATTTAAGTCACCAACAACTCATTTGCTTTCCATTAAGGTGTTTTAAGCAGGTTCTCGAGTCTCTTCTTCTGTAAAATTCAAGTAAGACAATCTAATCCATCAGTAATGTCCTCAAGATGGTCTCATACATGCAATGAATTAAACACTCTCAAATATTTTATTTTTTCTAAGTGGTAAAGACTCACTACATCCCAATCGTATTTCCCACATGGTGTCATGAACCTCTTAACACTTCATTTCCATCATGTTCCATGTCTTGAGAAATCTGTTTTCAATCTTTCAAATGCAAACAGGGCCTCCACCCTCTGTCCCCTGATGCTAGATTCATCAGTCCCCAGCCAACATATTCTTCATACTCTTTTCTAGGGTGAATAAATTCATCTCCTCCGTCATCAATCATGCAGAAAGCTTCAATGACACATTCATGTTCTTCAAACTTCTTCGTATTATTTATGTCTTCTATGAAGAAACGGAGGATATGCATTCATCAGAAATAAGTAGCTCCAAGTCAGCCTAAGAAAAGCATCTGCAAAGCTGACTTGACTCTGCTCTTGCTCTCAGTGCGCTTGAGCTGTGACCTAGAGATGCTGCTGCTTTTACATTTCACCTAGGGACCTGCTCATTCTCAGCTCTGCTTGCTCACAATGAAGAGCTCCAGAGGCATCTAAATTCAGTTGTGAGGATTTGGCTCAGTGTCAGTAGGTGGAAAAATAGAGAATGCATGGATCTGAGGTGAAGCTCTAGAAGCCGAAATTCTATCTTTGTACCTCCTTTGTCCTGCATCCAGTCCTTTCATTTTAGCAACACATTCCTACTGAGGAGAGTGTTTTCCATCCTTCAAGTGTCCAACAGATGATGACTTGGGGGCTCCCTGTCACTGTTGTCCTTTGAGATCCACATTGTATGTAACTTCAACAACACCCAATTTTCTCTCTAGTGACAGAATAAGCCATTCATTATAATAAAAGCATTCTGGGTCTCACTTCGCATAAGAAACCCAGGACTAGAGAGACCACCCAAGTCCCTGAATCCGGAGCTCTGCATACGCATACACAATTAACCATACACATTGACATCACCAGAAGAGGGCTTCACAGAGTATCTGTTCCGCATAGCCCTATCTACAAATCACAGAACACATTCAGCAGCCCATAGTAAGCTCCAGAAGTTGCCATAATTACGATGTGTGACATTTGAATGTGAAATCCAAAATTTTATCTTTCCTGTATATTAATGCGAAAACTTAGAATTGCAACGTTTGTCTCCAAACATTTCAGTATTTGTCCCAGAGTGTCTGCGTAACAAAATTCATGAAGAATCAGTGGAGCTGACTGGACTGAAAACAACGTTTTTAAATCAACATTCTCCCAACTGACCACGAGACTACAAAACCAGGTCCTTCTTCCTCGTTGCTCCTTCTCACACTCCTAGCTGTACAACGGCTGGGTTTTTGACAAGTTCTTTTTCAACACCTCTGTCTGGGAGCCTAGAGATTCTGTGGAGAGAGAGTTGTGTGCCTAAAAAACCCCAGCTAGAGGCAGGAAACAAAGTTACTCACCACTTGCCATCTGGTGGATTATTTAGCATGAGGACTTGCATTATTGCGATGAACTCTACTCAGTGTTTTCAAAAAACTATTCATGAGTGCTCCAGTTCCAGGAGAAGATGCTGGGTGCTAGATCCCAAGCTGGCAGACATACTTGCCCTACTGCTGTTGATACAAGTGCCTAAGCTCCAGAGAAAGTAACTTGCCTTTCTATGTTAAAATTCCCACTGACTTGCACCAAGAATTTCCCTTTTCACTAGGCAGGTTTTGAGACCATTCATCTGAGCTGCCTAAAGCAGCTTCACAGGTGCTTCACTCTGGTCTGGGATTCCATTTTGAGCATTTTAAATTTAGGTCCTTCAGCTTAGCTTGCAGAACTGTCCATCTTGCCGGACTCATCTCTACCTCACTTTTGTGGGAGCTGGAAAATGAAGTGTAAGAAAGGGGAACACAGGAAAGTGGTAAGCAGTTTTACCACCATCGGCCCAGAGCTCCAGGGCTCCATTCCTCCTGTCACAGACTTGCTATCTCAGGTGAGGCACATTACCTTCTCGAAGAATTGTGCTCCTAATCTGCATCCAGGGGATCTCTCTTGAAGAAATGTTGGGCATTTTCAACTATCTCTAAATTTGAACATTTTACATACTTGAAACATATATGATACCGTATGTGGACAGTTGGCCCTCCTGCCATCCCCCAGATAGTTACTGTTCTGTTTTTCAAATTCATGGCTTTGTAGCTTACTGACTTACGACAACCACTGGTAGCTCCCCTGTCTACCAAACAGGGATACAGTCGTTCCCCATCTCAGAGGGAAATCAGTTCATTATAAATTACTTGATTTTGACTTCTCAGTAATAGGCATTGCATGAATAACTAACACTGTCCTCGGGTCTGAATGGTGTGATGTAAACAACGCACAGAGGATGTCCATCTGGTACTTTATGACTCCAGAGTGTTGCTTTTGCAACCTTATAAATGACCTCTTAACTCAATCTTTATGTACACTACACATACAAAATGACTATCAGCAGTGCTGCACGCAGCAGGAATGGGTGCTAACTTGTAAGCAAATGCGTATCATTTCTATGCTACTATTATCTAAGTTTCACATGCGAAACAAATCCAAACTCACGTCTCTCATCATTTTCACTGCTTCCCTGGTCCTTCCCAGCTTTCTGGCACACATTGCGAGCCTTCTCTTAATATAAACTAACACATTGGTGTCCCTTCCTGTATAAGAGGAAAGAGAAACAGCATTAAGATAAAAGAGATAAAACAAAGATTCATTTACTATTCCAACACAAAAGGAAACATAATTTTCTTGCCATTTTTTATTATTCACTATTGTCAATGCTTTCACAATAATTCTAATTTTAAAAATACCAAATTCTCCTGATTTAGATTCTGGCATAACATCACTGACATCAGTGGAAGTATTTCATATATACAGTGGTATAAACAAGGACCCATGGGTTGGCCTTACACCTATGAAATACAAACACATACAGAGAAAGCTATAGGGTATAGATCATCAAGTCATCGTGTGAGGCAAGGAGAACTCCTGTGAAGTTAACACTGGTACAAAATTCTGTGGTCACACACACAGCATTAAATTACTTTCCAATCCACATACAGGGTTAAGACAAGGACATCCATGAAAATACATGCTTTATACTGTCTTTTTTGTAAGTTATGATGTAAATGCTTGTTAACAGAAGATGTAGCAAAATAAACCCTCATCTCCTAACAGTCTTCTTCTTAATGATTAGAAGAAAAGTATACTCTGAATTTCCTGTTTACAGAGGCTCTACTCGTTACCCAATTATCATATTCAAATTCCTCCCATCACTAATTATGAACATGTTTCAGATTTGACAGTCCTATGTGATGGAAGATGCCCTAACAGCAAGGATGACAGAAATGAAACAGCTGCAATAATTATTCTCTTGGAAAATTCTTATTCATTTCACTTCTCATTCTCTTCCCTACAATTCCAGTGTGAACTCTTAACATGCTTCTGGACCAACAGGAAATGAGTGGACAGCTAATCATCTATAAAATTACCATACTGTGAAAATATAAGACACCTGCTACAGATTATCTTTGCATACAGTATGCAGTCTGTAAAGATTTTAGTCTGTTCCTAACATTTTCAAGTCTTTCATAATAAGAACAAGATGTGCACTGAAAACACTCCAAGTATCTACAAATGGTTTTAAAGCTGTTATTACAATTTTCAGATAGATTAAGCTGAAGGTTGAAAGATCTGACTTAAATAAGGGAGGGAAGGAATTTCTTTAGCTGTATTTTGTATTATGTAATTCCTTATCTCTGTATTGATTCCTATACGTATAATGAACAATTTCTTAGTTACATCTGTTTGAGCATGTTTATGTAGTGTAACTAAGACATATACATTTGAGGCCAAGCTCCTTTTCAGTCTTTTCAGAAGGAACAGTCAAAAGGCATTTACTGACTATGAAATCAAGATAATCTTTCAGGCCAAAATTTTCAGAGATGACTAATGATTTGGGGTGACTAACATGAACCACCTTAAAAAGAAGATTGCCCTTGCTTTCTATAAATCAGCACCTCTTGAAAGAGGTTACTTTAGGTAGTTAGTCATTATTTCCTCTTAAAATTCACAGTCTGACATAAACTGCTGTGTGAAGGAGAAAGAACACATGAATAAACAGAAACATAGAGCAATACATTGTTGTTCAAGAAATTACAGAGTATTTTTCATCTGTAAAAGATGAAATGCCCACTTTTCATCCCAAAGTCAACTTCAAGGACCAGAAACGGAATGACAGACATCTCAGAACCATGGAGTAACTGCAAAAAATCTGTCCATGGCCCTTCCTCTTTAAAGAGAGCTGAGCTCTCCACCTTTGTAAACCATCCACAAGTCCAGGATATAATCAAGAGAATCCTACTTGAAGCCTTTGTCTCCAGGTCTCTGTGTCCACCATCAGAGGCTGAAACTGCTCTAACTTCTGTGGGTGCACACTGATATTATCAAGGAGAGGCTGGGTAGTATAGAGCAGTGTGACAATCCAGCCCCTCCTGAAGCCACTCCTGAAGCCCCAGTGAGAGCTGGCAACCACTTTTGAGCCCCTCCTTCTCTGTGGCAATGCACTTAATTTTGTGATTCAACTGGTTACTTCCTCTGGTGTAATACTGAAGGTTCAGGGTGTCAAATTTGATTATAGTAGCAATCTAGCACATACAGGTAAAAAAAATACCATACTTATATTTCCCTGCACAAACTTAACCAGGTTATCTTGGACATAAGCATTGTGACAGTGTTTTTTTGTCTGTTTTTTATAGAATCGCTGTTATTATCGGTGCTCAGGATGGACTGAGTGCACAAGTTGAGGCTTCACAGAGAACCATAGGCCTGCTAGAGCCTGAAAACTGCTTCAAGGGCTCAGCTGCTCTATTTTTATTTTCTCTAAAAATAAGCAAATCATCTTAAATATAATTTTATAACCAACAAATGTTTAAAATACTAGCCTCAAGCTCTTCAAAACCTCAGGTTTTCAGGTATAGACTTGTGCACACTTTTGAAACCACAGATCACAGACAATTTCACTATTTTTATCAGCAATCATCAAATTATGTGAGATAGCCAGAGGCTGTGAATTCAGGTCCTGAGAAACCCAAGGATGCTTAAAGTATGTTAGTGCTTGTACTTACATAATTAGTTGGTATTATTTTTGCCTGAGGTAGTCATTGTAGACTAGAAATAACCTAGACTGTTTGCTTTTTTAATTTTTTTGTTCATTCACTGCCAGTGAACCCTCGAGTACTTTCTTAGGTTTAAGAAGCATCTAATAAATATCATCACAGCAGTGAAATCTGCTTATTAGAAGTTAAAAAAATAAAAATCTAGACTTTCAATTGAAGCATTGTATTATTCCAGTTGCTAATTTTTATGTTTCTGTGACCTATCTAAATGTATGTAACCAACTTTGCAAATGCCACACTGGTTAATGGATCTCATTAACGTTTACACAGAACAATGTGGTGTACGTATTAACCCTCACAGCTGATGGGAAAAAAGACAGTTCACTCCTGTTTCCATCATTCTTTACTGCCTTTTCACAACATGAGCTTATCTTTTCAAAATGGCAAAGGAACTTCCAGAAATAGTGTCTAGCATTTTCTGAATATCAGATCTCTTTTGGTTCTGCTACCTTTTCTTTTCTGTTAAGTACATGCTACAGTATTTTCTGTCATGACAAAGAAAAGGTGCATCTGTAATCTGGGCATTGCTAGCTCAGCAGCACAATCAAGCAAAAACCCTGAAACAGAGTAGTACGGCTCTAGGGTTGTATTTCAGGCAATGTTAAATACTGTGTAAATAGGTTGGAGAAGGAAAAGAAAACATAACAAAACAAAAAACACCAAGTCAAACAAAAACTAACAAAAAAACCCCCACAAACCCTGGAACTTCTCTCCCTTTAGAAACTATTCCCTTCAAAGAAACTTACTGTGTTGAGCTTCATACTGGGCACCATGGTGCTGTAATTGCTGACTGCGCCTGTAACAGCCCTCTCCAGCTTTCAGGGCTTGCTTGAACAGCTTCTCTGCTTCTACAATTGTTGTTGCTTCCTCTTCAGCCAACAGAATATAGGCAGTAGCACACCTGCAAAAACACCAGAGGAAAAACTATGAGAAAGTTGCATAAAGTAAAAGCTACACAAAGACATGCAGTCTGGCAAGGATGTACCAAATACAGAGGTAATGGGAGTTTTGTCCATACACCTTTCTGATGAACTATTTTGATGAATAAATATTCTGGCCACGACCTAGATAATGACTCTTGTTTGTAGGTACTGCATCACCCAGCATTTGAGTAAACCTACCGCACCAGAAGGTAAAGCACTGTCTTGCTAAGCAATCATGGTCTACGTCACTGTAACTCCTTCTGGAAAACAAGGCTAGATTTATGCACTACTGTTAAATCACAAAATGTCTCCTTTACTGTAATGGTATGAAAAGAATCAATAGACCTACAACACTTGCCGCCTGCAATGAGCAGATTATGAATGTAACTGTAAAGATTATAAAATAAAACAAAACAAAACAAAAACCCCAAAACCAAGAAAGCAGCTTTAGGAATACACAGGAAGGTGAAATGCATGGTGGGAGTCACCTCATCCAGCTTTCAGTTGTCTTAATTTAGATGTCCTAACTATCTGTGCCCCTTTGCCTCCATCAAGGAACATCTTCACAAAGCCATTCATTTCATGTGTTTAAACATCTCTCTAAGATTAGAGTCAATTGTTGAATGGAGGTGCCTCTCTCATTGACTTTAAAGGGAGCCCAGGCAACTCCTTTAAACCTCATGGCCCTATTTTTAGCACCTGAAGTTAGGTGGGACATAGCCTGTTGACTTCTTTCCACTACGAAGCACACCACTGATGAGATTATTATTTATACAGACACAGAAGCAGGCTGCAGCTGCCTCTAGTTGTGTTTCAGAGTCATCAGCTGAGGAACACCGAACAGGTCCAGGTCAAAACCAGATTCCAGGCACCAGCACTTGCTGTGAGCCATCCAGCTGGAAAGCAGCTTGGCAGGAAAGGACGTTGGGGTCCTGGAGGACACCAAGTCCAACATGAGTCAGCAATGTGCCCTTGCTGCAAAGGCGGCTAATGGCATCCTGAGCTGCACTAGGAGGAGTGTGGCCAGCGGGCCTTCCCCGTTGCCCAGCACTTGTGAGGCTCCACCTGCAGTGCTGTGTCCAGTTCTGGGCTCCCCAGTACAAGAGGGACATGGACATACTCCAGCAAAGGGCCATGAAGATGACTTAATGACCAGAGCATCTCAAAAATGAAGAAAGACTGAGAGAGCTGGGATTGTTCAGCTGGAAGAGAAGGTTCAGGGGGGATCTCATCAATGTCTGTAAATAGCTGAAAGGGGGTGCAAAGAGGACAGAACCAGGCTTTTTCTAGAGGTGCCCAGTGACAGGGTCAGAGGCAGTGGGCATAAACTAAAACACAGGAGGCTCTGACTGAGCATGAGATAACACTTCTTTACTGTGAAGGTGACTGAGCACTGGCACAGGTTGTCCGAGGAGGTTGCGGAGTCTCCCTTCCTGGAGATACACAAAAGCCATCTGTACATGGTCCTGTAAAATGTGGTAGGTGGCCTTGCTTGAGCAGGGGCGTTGAACCAGATGACCTCCAGAGGTTCCTGCCAACCTCAACCACTCTGTGGTTCTCTGATATGTGAGGAGAACAGGACAGGCTTATAGCTCACTTCTGCAAAAGCCTTTTATGCTATATGCTCTCTCAGTTAAACTGCTGTCCAGGAACAAACAATTATTTTTCTCCTTCTGATGAAACATGTGAAGGACAATCCGTAAGGCATCAGTTTATGAAATACTAGAATGCAGTAATCTCTGACAGCAACTTCAGGGAATCTCTCCACTTTATGCACTTTGGCAACATTTATACAGTTTGCCATGCCAGTAAAGCATCACAGCATTGAGTTTCTTGTGGGATCTCAGAATACCACGCTTGTCACTGAGAAAATAAATAACGGACTCGAAAACCAGAAGTCCCAGAAAATTACATCATATTCTCTCACTATGAAATGAATATTTCAGAAGGTGTTTATGAGTCCCCTCTTTCTTGCCTCTGTTCAAGATGACTGAGAAATCCAAAAGGGAACTCTCTGTCCCATAAGTGCATATTTCATATGCTCATCAGGAGGCAACTTAATTAACACTTTGCTATGCTGATTCCAAGCCAATGGGAAGACTCCCATTGTCATCACTGCCCTAAGGATCTTCTGGGTGGCTGGCACAACATGCAGCTGTGCTTTTTCCCTCCCGTTGTAGGCCTTCCTTTGACAGATCTGTAATCACGGTTAAAAATCACTGTAGCAACCCCTCTGCCTTAAGCTATCATCAAATGGATTTTTAAATGACAGGAAATAAATGTTAATGCTGTTGTCACTCACTCATTCAATTCCAAAGCTTCATGCGCTGCAGAAATTCGGGCTTGAGGGTTTCTCTCTCTCCAGGCTTTTTGCATTACTAGTCAATAAAAAAAGCAGAACAGGAGCATATCAGTCATTACAGCATTAACAGGGAGAACCCACTGCACTATAACAACAGAATTTATTGCTCTCAGCCTGACTTACTCCAGAGCAGTTCAAAGAGCTCAGTGATCACTCAAAAGATACATAATCAACATGAGCTTTTGTCCCAGATACTCAGCTTTATTCTTTCATCAAATTAAACTTTTATTCCATGGGAAAATCTGGCTGAGAAATCATGCCATCTGCACTGTGACATACAGAGGTGACAAGCAGCTTTTTCCTCATGGGGAAGTGATTCCACAGGGCACAAAAGAATGCAAGGACAGTTGGGATTCTTATTCTAGTTCCTTACTGTGCTGTTGCTTTAGGTGAATGTTAAATGGAAACAACATCCAGGCTAACCAGACCACCTCACAACTAGCCCACTGAGTTCAGAAAACAGGATTCATGTTTATTATGTGTGAAAAAAGCACAGTTTGCTCTCCTTTTGTAGTTATGCCCTCAGAAGGAGTGCCCAACTGCCAGTATCTCTCCTTTTCTAAGAGACAAAGAAGATTTGTCTTTTCAGAGGCAAATTCTGATGATCAAAATAACTGTTGTACATTTTTAGCAGAATCAAAGCCTGTATGTGGACTTAGCAGTAAAGGCTTAATTCAACTAAAGCGGTTATATCAAATTCAGTCGTAAATGGGTTGTTCCCATTTTTTACATAGCTTCTAACTACATCAGGGAATGAAACACAGGACTCTCTCTTCTGTCAGCACAGACTAAATGGGACCTGGATAATGTAACTTAATGTAATACATGGCAGCTGGATGCAAATTAAGCTATACATGTTTGAAGCCACTACAAGAAACAGGAGGAAAAGCCATGTTTTTGCACTTGCAAATGGTACCTTGAAAGACTTCAGCAAGAAAGCAGAATGAAATAGTGACACAAATTAGATCGTTTGTACCTATACAGATACTTGTTCAGATCTAGAATACTACCAATCCAACAGCAACAGCTTTGCAGGCATTATCAAACTTTTGCCTTTCCTTATCTACCCAAGAGAACTGATGTCCGACTGCATTTTTCTTGATCAGACTAAACCAATCATTAACCTATTAGTAAAAATGGTTGTTCACAAGGTCTCTTACTAGCATCTGCAGGCCGTAAATGATCTGTGTCACACGTAAAGAATGTCTGATGGTCCTGCGCTGAAAGATTCATGTCGTAGTAAGTCAAAGGTTCTCTCCCTGTTACCCACGTATACCTGCAAACGTGCCAACAAAGAGACATTTTGGTTAATGAGGTCACATTCGGCAACATTAATCTAAAAAAGAATCCTAGACATTAGAGATGGGCATAGCCTGCTAGATTCACCCAGCCTTGCTCCTAACCAACACTCATTGCATTTCACTGTACCGTGATGGAGCAACAGTAGTTAAACCTGAGCGAATGAGGATGTTGGAAAGTACACGCTGGAAGTTGGCAGCACACATATTCAAACATTAAGACTACATGAAACCTAGGTATCATTCATGAGGTTGTTTGCTATAACTCATTTGAACAGAATTAATGTATTAACAGTACCAGGGACACTGCAATTAGGTTTTCAATTTTTTTTTATAAGTTCAAAAAAATTGCAGAAATAACAAGTGCATATGCTTGAATTTAAATTCCTTTTCATTCAGAAACATTTTACAAAAGACAGAAGAAACTGGTACAAGCCACAGTTGGTTTTGGTTTTCCATCTCTGAGTTAGATTAATGGAAAAGAGCAATTAAGGTCCTTAACCGAGTACTGTGCCTGTAACACTGTACTACTTACCGATTATATTCAGCTCCTCTGAACAGATTTAAAGGATTTCGCCACACTTTGCATTCTGTCATAAACAGAAACACACAAAAATGAATCTCTCCCAAATTACAATGGTACTTCAGGTTTATCAGAAACATCAGTTACCTTCTAATGAGCCTTATCAAATAACTTCTATTTTTTATATATGCAAATAGGAAAAAAAAAACAACCAAGAGCATAGAGATGTAGATCACCAGACTGTTCTTCCCTTTTAAAATAATAATTTCATTATAAATTAGTGTCAGCAAATGTTATCATTTCAGACAAATAACCACCAACAAAGCTCCAAATGCCAGATGAAAAGATAATACCGATTAGTGCCAGGACTCACATCTACCATAATGCACAACTGAAGAGGAATCACACTGGGTTACTGCACTGAAGAACAGCAATTAACTCAGTCCCTATGGACTTGTTATTTCTACAGAAAAACTTCACTGTCTAGTTAATGCTGTAAATCACTAAGAATCTCGGCTACAGTTGCCAAATTTAATTCCTCTTTAGCTCATGAAGCAAAAAATCCATGGCAACATCTGCTGACCTTACTTAAGCATCCCAGGGTTGACAAAGGATGCTGAATTGATCGGCAGAGAAAAGTTCACTGCATTGCAAAGGTTTGGGAACATTAAAAGCACTTCATACATTTCTCTTGGGGGAAAAAATGCAAATTCTTCACAGTACAGGTAGGAAGAAATCAGAAAATCCACAACAATGTAGTTTAGAACAGAAGTAAAAAAAAAAAAAAAATCACAAAAATCAATCTCTATAGCTTTTGAAAAAGTGAGGTCTTAATTCTGGCCAGATTTGCTCTCTTCATTTCAACAAAGACAATTCACTTCAGCGAACGTAAGACTATAACCAAATGAGTATTTGCAACAAAGACTCCCGCAGAGGCAGCATCCTGTTCCACCAGACATCTACCCCGGACGACCCCTCACGTGGTGCTCTGCAAAAACTCAGCAGCTTTCCACCACCAAAACTCAGCACATTTTTCCCTATGCATTTCTGTGACATCCTTTCTAAAGAGATCACAGCAACAGTTTCACAGTGGGATACTGAGTAATCAGGGTATCTACCCTACCTTACACAACACTGGTAAGTATAGGTATGTTCCCCTTCTGTCTGTTCCATTCAAGAAAGAGAAATACAGAGCAGCAAGTCAAGCCCTTCTCTTTTCTCATGGATGTAGCTCCTACTTCTGAGTATGAGGCTAAAGTGGCATGGAGAGAACACATTTTACACAAAATTATTTGCAATAATGTAATGATATCCACGGTTACCCAAAAACTAGTCGAGTGGCACAGCACGTGGGCCCTCAGCTCGGTGCCTACATCACCTAACACGTGCATGAGACAGAGACAGGGCAGATGTGCTGGAAGAGAGCCTGGATTGCGCATCTGCATCGTTCAACCAGCCACTTCAGCAGGTAGCTAACTTGAGAAAGCTCCACTACTTTGCTCAGCAGAAGCACTTGAACGACATTCAGCCATTCTGTTGTGCAGCCAGAGGTTACAGCTGTTTGACAAGCTTCAGTTCTTAAATAATATGGCTTTCAAACCATAGTAAATATTAAGAAAACATCAGCCGTCTCAGTTACAGAGGTACACTTCAATGGCTTGGCTTACTCTATGTGCAACCAACAAGATTCGGTAACAGCTATTTGATCACAGTGACACCATTCTTTTTGCTCAGCCTATTTAAATTTAAGTGGTTAGACTTTATCCAAAGTATGCAGTACTTCAGCACTGTAGCAGGGAAAGGGGGAACAAAAAGGGGAGGTGAAGAAGGGATTTTATTACCACCTCCTGTGCTGGGGGTAGTTTGGCATCTGCCTGGCTAGTTAAACATGATGTGCTCTTTGTTGCCTTTATCCTGGTATCTGCTGATACCGTGATCCCAGTACAACCACCATTCTTCTGACCTTTCTGAAGACAAAGTTAGCTACTGCAATATTCTACCATAGCCAAACATCTACAGAGGAAAATATGGTGAGCCAAGTGAAAAAGCCATCTTCACCTTGTTGGGCAGTAAAAGAAACATCCCAGTGTAGATGCATGGTAAACCGAAAAGGCTGCTTTTTCTGTTACATTACAAATTAATAACATAACTATGTCCTTGTTTTATATAAGCAATTAGGATTTACTGAAGATTAATCTTTCAGCTCCTTGTTCAGTGACCAAGTTTTGAGCACTGATATCTTTCTGCAGGCAAGAATAACAGGCTACCCATGCAGCCACACTACGCAGGGACACTGTGAGAGTCCCAGCTCACAGACTCGAGTGCCAATACACTGAAAGCACACACAGGCCTTGACTATTCTTTATATCAGAGGAGTCGAGACGCTTGGATGAACTGTGTTAGTCAAAATCCTGTGCCTTCTGCTTCAAAACAGTGGGAGTTATTTCAGAGCTGCCGAAGCGTGACTGAGCGTGCTGATGAGTGCACACAGGTGTTTCCAAGCCACCCCGTGCTTTCTGCCGGTTCACTCAAATCTAATATCCTGGACCATGCAGTGCTGCTATTCACAGCCTCTCCTCAGATGGGAATGACAGCAGCTGAATTTGCTGAGCTATAAGGAGGCTTCCGTAAGTAGAAACACCCAGTAGAGGGCACGGTTTTTTGAGGCTAGCTATTTTATTTAATTTGTTAGTTCAAAGCTAATTTTTGCTTGCTTATTTTCAGGAATACTGAAGACCAGAAGTATAATTTGCCAGGTACAGACATAGACACATTGGCTGCTAAACAGTTATGTTTTCTCCATAACTGCACTTCTCCTTACTTGTTAATTCTGATGCATTTTAAAAGCCTGCAGAGGAAATAAATTTAATCAAATCATAATTTATTCTAGGGGCACACCCCTAAGGAAAGCTAGATTAATTTCCAATATTAAGATTATGGCCTGTATGCCAAGCTAGAGCTGAAATAGGTAAGCTTTGTTCTGCATAGGAGGAACATAAGCCAAGATGCTCCTGCCCTGACTTTCTTTAACAGTGAGTATCTCCAACTCAAGTCAGAAGCAATAGTATTTCAGCATCTTCATCACTCACGGGCTAAGTTTTCAATTCATCCCCTTCTCCCATAGCTGAGTCACCCAAGCAGGGAGACAAGTTCCCCTGGGACTCCTCTTTGGTCCATAAAGATCAGTGGCTGGGGCGGCTGATTCAATTTAGGCAGGTTGGCCTATCTCTCAAAATCCCAAACCCTGTGGTGTGAACAAAATGACCTGTGGGGACAGTCCTCCTCCAGACTTAAGCTGCGTCAGTTCAAAACTGACATCCTCCCCTCCATCACCTGAGAGCTGATCTCTTCTAACATCTTTTTCAAGAGAGCAAGTAAATTTGTGTTCACTATAGTAATATACAAAAGCATAAAAAAATTACAACTCATACATTTATACTACTCAAGTAAGGCTCACAAAATACCTCATCGATCATATGTTCATCCAGAATAATCACATGCACTAGAAAGGAAGCCCCAGAGTGTCAAGGTCAACTTTAAAGGCCTGAATGGCTTAGTCAGACACCTTCAGCCTGGTTTGCAGCACCTAACTTCTTGCACTCAAACTCATAGGGGCTGTGAATGCCTGGAAGCTCATCAAAATCAAGCCCCAAATGCCTGAAATCAGGCCTTTTTTTAAAAACCTGACTGTGTTATGACTTGCCCAAAGTCACAAATCAAATTAGTAGCAGAGTCAGGAACAGAACAAGCCCTTAAGCTATTAAAAGCCACTGTGCTTCCATTTACTAAAGTGAAATCCAAATGTTGTTTCCATACTACTTACGCTATCTAAAAAATCAGGCAGTGTAAAAGTAGATGGGCATTCCCAACATTTTTTTAAAATTGGTTTATTCAAAAGAATTTAAATAAAAATACTGCCTGCCTTTAGAAATGATATTGCAAAAAGAGCATATGCAATTTAGCAGGGTTTTCAGAACAAGGGGGTAATGGATGCAATGGCAACACAGCCAGAGCAAGAAACACCGCATGAATCTGGAAAGAGAATTAATTAAAGATTAATTGCCAGAGCAATTAATGAAACAGCTCTGCCTTTTGTTTGACAACAAAACAAGTTTAAAGGAAGCCTTGTCTGCTCTCATGGCTCAGCACGAGATGACATTTGTGCCATCGGCCTACGGCAGGCTGCCCAAGGCATGTCCAGGACAGGGCCTCGGTGACAGTTGAGCGTGGCACCCTTGGATGAGGGAAACATTTGGTGTTTTGGGGCAGGAGCGCTGGTTGCCCATAGCAGCTGTGCTGAAGCTCAGTCACCACTCAGCAGCATCGTCCTGCACCCAGTTTTGCAGCTCAGCAACCATCTGTTACGGACACTTTCTCCCGCGCTGAGTGACCCAGGGCATGGGGACCCTAAGAAGTGAAATTTCGTCTACACACCGCCTCGAAAGCCGAGAGAGAGGCGGCATCTCCCGCCGGCGGAGCTGAGGGGTGAGCGCCTCCCCGTCTTCCCTCACCTGAGACGCTCTGGCGGCTGGAGTCCGCGTCCCCGTTGGCGGCACTGGCGGTGCTGGGCGCGCTGTTGTCCACCCCGCCCAGCAGAGGGCGCAAGTGGCTCACCGAGACCTGCTCGATGAAGGAGGTCCCGTACTTGCGGAAGTACCACCACTCGAAGATCTGCAACACACAGGCACAGCGTGGCCGTTAACGGCTCCCCCGGCCCCTCAGCCCGCTCTCCCCGCGCTGCGCCGGAACCCTAAAAGGGAAGAGGCGCAGGCAGGCAGACGCCGGCCGCCCCACGCACCCGCACCTCCCTGCCCTCGCACCCTGAAGGGGGCACCTGCCGGCGCCTTCCCAGCCCGAGGAGCGCCGAGGCCCGCCGGCCGCAGCACATTCCCTGGGGCATACTGCGAGCGGCCAGCCGGGCCTCCCGATGGCATATTGAGAGCTTAAATTTTATCCACGTTCGTGCCGAATCCGGCAAATCGCTTTAAAAGCCTGAAGGGGGCACCTGCCGGCGCCTTCCCAGCCCGAGGAGCGCCGAGGCCCGCCGGCCGCAGCACATTCCCTGGGGCATACTGCGAGCGGCCAGCCGGGCCTCCCGATGGCATATTGAGAGCTTAAATTTTATCCACGTTCGTGCCGAATCCGGCAAATCGCTTTAAAAGCCTGGTTTACAGGAAGGGAAAAAAAAAAATCAATCTTACTAGCAAAAAAAAAAGTGTGGTTTTCTTTTCTTTTCCTGTTTTTTATTTTAAACCTAAAGAACTTTACGACAAATTATTTCTTATAAAGGCATTTAAAGTCGTTAGGAGCATTCCTTCAAACTGACTTCTGGGAAAAAAAATACAGGAGGCAGCAAAATCCTGACCTCAGCCACGTAAATGGGACGCTGCGGTCAGACTCTATCCTCACCGTTCCCCAGCTCCCTCTGCAGTCAAAGGAAAGTGAGGAAAAGCAGGTTTGCCAGTTTTCCCAGTAATGCTTCCAAAGGAATTCACTCAGTTTAATTTGAAAAATGCTAAAAATACCAAACTCCAGGAAGCTGAATCCTATTCCTTTTAGGATTTTTTTCCCCAACTGAACTGTGTTCTGTTTTGTTTAGCTGACATTTGCTGATTCTGAAATATTTTTATTTTCAGGCTCTTGGTTCAGCTAGCAAATCAGAAAAAAATATTATTTAAAGAGCTCTAATTGGAAAATAATTTCATAGCCTAAAAGCCTTATAATTGAAATGATACACATATATTCATGGTATTTTCACTGAGAAATTATATTTGTGGGTAAGAATATACATATTTCAGGAAACCACATAAACCCAGAAATGAAGAATATTTCATAAACAGGCAAAAGGTTTTGGCTGTAAAAATTGTAAAGGCACACACACTTATAGTGAGTATGTAAAATGAGTGTATTTTGCAGTTGCACTTGAATTGTCACCCAAACATCTGTATACCAACTGAAACTGTCTCCATGGGATCGTCTGTAGACGAGACATACTTTCTCCCATCCTCCCTTTAAACTATTCCTTTAAACTTAATAGGGGAAAACCAGAAGATAAACCTACTGGCACGGTAAGAAACTACCGCTTTCCAAATGCATTCAGCACTAGGGCTTCCCCTAAGTTCAGCTGTGTTGTTAAAGCATCCAGAGCATTCACATGGAGGAAGCTGACCCTAGCTGCACTGCAATGGGGTGGGAATGTAGCTGGTGGCCACTTGAGACAAGTTCACAGAAGTGTCTGGCAGCCCTGGAGATCACTCAGTCCCCAAAAACAATCTAATGGCTCTTCTAGGAAACATCAGCAAGGAAGAATGGAGCAGTTTGATGAGGAGAAGACAGAAGGGCTATGTGAACACATAAAGGTCACAAGCACTTGGGAAGATAAACAGCTGGTCACAGGGAAACCAGAACATAAACACATCCAGACCTTCCATCATCCCAGGCAAACTCACATCCCAGGCAAACTGGGACTCTAACTGGGAATGAACTCTACATCCCAGGCAAACCACCAAAAGCACTCACAGCCTGGACAGTTCCCCCTAACATGGGCTCCACAGCGCATTTGTCACTGGACTCACTCCATTGGCACGTGCTTGCAGCAGCACCCTGGTGGGAATCCTGACAACCATGGACAGAGTGGTGAGGAGTATCACTGAACACTTGCTCTGCAGTGATGCACTGACCCTGACATGCACCACTGCCTCCAAACACTGCAGACGGTGGACAGGGAGCTGGCACAGGTGAGCCAGCTTTGGAAACACTTTCTAAAGGGTTTAGAATTTAAATCTTATGATTTATGAGAGCATCATAACCTAAGCAGAGTGTGTGGCTGACCATGAGAGAAAGGCTGTGCCATAAGATACAGTCACAGAGCTGCTCTGAGCATCTGCTTCTGTTTTATCTTTGGAAACTTTGAAACTTGAACAAATCAAGGCACACAAGCCACAGCTGTACCTGTCCAAGGTCTCTGAGGGAATGGCTGTTAGGAATCAAAGACTGTAAGTCTTGTACTGAGGCAAGGGACATTCAGTAATTACCAAGTATCATGGTAACATAAATCAGGGACTGAAGCACAGCTGCCAGACTGGCTGCTCAAAACTCTTGGCGGTTATAGACTGTACCTAACAAGCTTCATAACCTCTTTAAGGGAAGAAAAAATCAGATTTTTCAAAATGTGCTGATATATTGCTCATTAATTCAATCATAATCAGCATTTGGATAAAAATTCAGCAAAACCCAGAGAGTGAGCAGTACAAGAGCATGCTTGAGCCCACTTGCCCTGCACAAATGTATACCAGCTGGAAAACTGTCACACTGAATTTCAATGAAAATGAGGGTACAAGCAGAAAAAATGTATTTATAAGTGTGGTCACTATTGCAGTTCAGCTGTGTGACAGGAACTTGCTGTAAGTCTGTCTCCCTAGACTTATAAATACATTAAATACTGTTAAAAATGGCATTAAAGCTCATAAATTGTTTAAGTCAGCTTTGAAAAATATTTGCAATGTTGAGTGAATCCAGTGCCAGGTAACATCAGCCAGATCTCGATGCATACCATCTCTTAGAAATTAAAGCCATAAATCATTATCATAGTAAGCCTTTGCTTGGAGTGATTTGTTCAGGGTGTATGAGAAGGTAATCTGTAACCTGGGACTGAAGTCAAAACAATGAATTCTCTTCATGGTAATTTTGCACCTTTCTCACACAGTGTCAGCTGTTTTGAAACCTGATTTCTATAAATCAAATTTTATTTCTAACTGAACCATCCCCTTTGAAAGCAATGTGAAGTCAAGGAGCTTTTGACAGCTCAGCAGATGAGAGATAATCTGGCAGAACAAAAGCTGACTATAAGGATTAATTACCCATTGAAAGAGATCTGGATCAGACAGGAAATTAAGGCAAAAGATCATTTCTGCACGCCTTCTGAAAGAAAAGGCCACCTCATTTCTGTTACATGCATACTGTGGAAGGGGAGCCCATCTTCACAAACCTTGTTCCCTTCACAGCAGTGGCAGACCCCTCTTTTTAATTGATGCCTGTGCTTTCAAATCGGAACAGGGTCAAACATCTCCAGACCCTCAAGGGACCTTTGAAACCATTATGTTCACAAAGGCCAAGTTAAAATCCTGTTCTGAACATTTCCAGCTTTGTGTTTAGAAATCCAAATCTAGAATTTTCGGTTTTTGAGCTTGTACGGGTAATGCTTAATGTAAGAGTATTTGATTTTGGAAAACCCTTAATGATGATTTCTAGAAATCCATGGCTATGAAAAAACAACTTGAAGGTGACAAATATATTTGGATTAAGTAAGAGCTGGTTAATCACTCATAAGTCTTCTTAAATGCATTTCAGATACTTGCTCTGGACTATTTTTGCTTCTCTGTGTTGGTACTTCTCCTTCCCCTATGCAATGAAAACATTAAAGTCATCCTCTTTCTTATCTCTGTTCTCACATACAGACAGTCCCAGATCATTTTATTTCTCTGTGTAGCAACAAATCTATTCTGCATCACCTGGATATCTGATCTTTCCACCTGTTTTTTCAGATACTCCATCATAAATGCATCAATTCACAAGGGATGGTTTTCATGGCTGTTCTCACTGGACCAAGTAGTGATGCCTATCAGTGATCTGAATTGTGTTTTCTTGTTTATCACATCCAAGACAGGCATCCTCTCTGTAGTCCTCTGTGTGTGTGTGTGTGTGTGTATTAAGTCTTCAACAGAAGCACTACAGGATTTTGTTTGCCGGCAACTTCCACAGCGCCGAGTTCTCACTCAGCCTTGCAATGAGGCTTCCAGGTCTCAGAGGAGTGAGGTTTGAAGTACTCTTCTAATATGAGGGGGGCTAACAACCAATCTAATGGATTTAAATTAAACTTACTCTCTTGAGGAACAGGATAACAAAAGCAGAACTTGATTCAATAGCTGAGCCTATTTGATAAATAAAACACAGCACAGGTTTTGCTGGTTCAGCTGTCCGTGCTGTTGGTAGCACACTGCCTGGCCTGTGCCAGATAATGACTGGACCTGTTCTGGGGATATCACAGCCCAGAGTCTGTTTCCAGTATGGAAAAGATCATCCTGTTTGGGGAGGATGTGACTATACAATGTCACTTGCCTCTGGACAAAGCAAGCTCCTGGTCTGTTTTATTTGGCTGTTAGGGGTAGCCAGGGACTCAAACAGATCCTCCAGTCCTGCCCAGCTTGGTTCTAGGAAATGATAGAGCTCTGACGATGCTCTCAGTGTATCAGTCTTGAAGGCTATGCAGCCCCATTCCTTCTGGTTAAAATACCCTCATTTAGCGTCCTCTTAGACTCCTCCTGGTTACTGAGCCCCAACTTGTCTTATCTCAAGGAGTCAGCATGAGAAGATACATGCGGTGCTAACAACTAGCTTATTCAAAGTAAAGAGCTGTTTACTTACATTTCATCTACCTCTGGAAATACAGAAATGGGAAAGAAAATACTATACTGCCAGGACTAAGTACAGTACTTATCTCTACACTGGGTAGCCCACAGATACTTATGATGCCTTCCTCTTGCCTGTGGACTGGGTTATAGTTGGCCTTCCTACAGACCCTTCCTCTCTCATCTGCTCCTTGGCAAGTGTTTCCAGTTTCTTAGGAGCTCCCTACAAGGATTCTGCCCTCCCTGACCTGTCAGCCTCTGCTGAGCAGAGCAGAAACCTGGAACAATTACCATGTGTCACTTTTCAGCTGTCAAAGACATTCAGCTGCACAACTGTCAGACCTTCCTGGAGCCTGTGGCAACACCCACAACTCAGTTGCCTTCTGCCCCTCTGCAGCAAGATACACAAAGGTAAGGAAACAAGCAGAAGAACTACTAATATCCACAGAAAATAAGACAGGTTCCTTCTGTGATATTCAGGTCCTCTCTCAGACTTCCTATACTAGCACCACTGGCTACAGAAGGCTGGGACTCTCACATACTATATACATTCTCAGGTAGTAGCAGGCAACCCAGAGGCTCAATGCTAGCCAGTGCGTAGACTCAGCACTCATGTTCTGCCTCTGTAAACTGGCTTTCAAATTTTTATCACTGAAAGACCTGGTATTTGTTCATTGCAGAATATTTCTCACTGTGTAGCAGAAAACTCTTATTATTGTCCCAAGCTCTGAAGTACAGTAGCAAGGCAATCTTGGTGGAGATTCAAGACGGGGGTTCACTTCTGCCTGTGCTTTGGTAGAACTGAGACTCCATCAGTTTGCAGCGCCAATGCCACCTGCATCTGCTAACCAGCTTTCACTCTAGTCATAACTGTATGTTGAATACGTGGCCTTACTTTGAAATCTCAGTGGCATTTACATAGTTCCAGTTCACAGCATTTACCGGATGTCAATTATGTTTCATGACAGTTTTATTACCCTACCTGTGGAAAACCTTGGCCTTTCAGACACCAAATACAATGTAGCTCATTGTATTCCGTGGGACAGAACCCTGTTATTCACTGGATTGAAAATAACTGTGGTGGAACCAAGTTTCCAACACGGTATTTCTAATGCAGCTTGAGATTTAATTTGATTCCTATTTTTGATGCCTAAAATAGTGCAGGGAAGAATTAAATATGTGCTAAATTGTTCATTTTAAACTATGTGCTGTAGTCAAGTAATTATTAAGAAGAATGCTTGAGATAGAAAAGTCCTTTCTGTACAGTCCTGAGCTATCCAGAAAAGAGAAAAGGTCTGAAATCCTTGCTTCAATTAAGCCACATTGCCTAGAGCAATGCCAGAATTTTACCTAAAGAATGAAAACAAAGTCAGAGACAAAATAAGATGGGAGAGTAGTTTTTCGCAAAGGAGTCACGTAGCATGCAATTGCCCAAAGCTGAATTCTGTAGAGTCATTGTTTCATGACCCAAACATGAAATGGGAAAAGCATTCACTTTCCCATCAGTTACCACACTTCTGAAATTACGGAATTTTCCATCATTTCATAACCTGCAGTGCTGTGATTTCTCCTTCTGATTAGGAGCTGCAGCCAACTGATATTGGAAAGAAATCTGCCGGACCATATGGCGGAAAATACCAAGAAATATCAGTACATTCAGTCCGAAAAATACCCCAGTGATGTAGATTTGACAAGAGAATGTTGATTTTATAAGAGTTTAGCTTGACACCATTAGCAGGACTATGACTCCTTTTGAACTGCAGCTGCTATGCAGTGTGACAGGTAAGTGGGTGGTAATGCAGGCAGTTCAGCATGTTATAGGGCTGTTAGTAAACAGCAAGATTATTAAGAAATAACTAACCTGGAGCACAATTGGGCTAGTGACTGGCTAGCACTACCTCACTAGAACTTACTCAGCTGTGTTTCCTGATGCACGCATCATCTGTTCAACTTGAAGTTTCTTCTTTCCATGACCATCTCTGCTGAGTTCCTTGTCCATCATCCAATTTACAGACCATGTATTCTCCTCAGCACAGACACTGTTCCCTACAATCTTGGGTTCCTGGCTGTTACCTGCCTGGCCTGTGTATCTTTTGCACATTTAGGTTGGCATATGAACAGCAGACAACAACTGACAGCAGTAGCGAAGGTCCACAAAAAAGTCTTCTTTCAGTCTGTATCTACACCTCCATCACCTCACTGTTCCTTCAACTTGTTCATAATGGACTCTGTCATGCAGCAGTTAGTGAATTTCTTTGGTTAAGGCTCACTCGGTCTCATCTCTTCTTGGAAGGCTTCTATCAATGCCCTTCTCTCCCTTCTTCGTATCACAGTCTTGAATAACCTTGCCGCTTCTTTCTTGTACTTTCCATCAAAGTACAGCACTTAGAAATTTCTTGCTCGCAAGTCTCCTACTGAGCTCATCGCTCAGAAATTGCCTTCATGACTGCAGTACAAAATGTACCTATATTTGTAATCATGCTATACACAGAATTTAGTTACAGATAATTTAGTCTCTTTGAAATTTTCGTTCCTGTTTGATTCTGTAAGGTATTTCAACAGGGCACAAACTTTTTCTTGCCACCTCATCCCGCTGTCTTCACTCTCCAACAACAATTATGGAATTGTGCCTGTGGAACCCACAGATTTCTCTCATTCCTTTTCATCTTGGCAGTGGGGCCTGGCCTTTTGAATGTTTCTCCTTTTTAAATGAGAGTCCCAAATGTAACATTCAGTATTTTCCTACTATGCATTTGAGTGAGTTGTGCTGAACTGAATCCAAGTCTTACAGGTCTGGCTCCTGTTCATATCCTGAAACATCTGCTGATGCCACTGGAGCCCTGTCCTGTGCTTTGGGGCTCAATCCGTAAAAGGATGATGAATACCCAAGGTGAAGACTTTAAGTAATTGCCTTCTGCTACAAGGAAACCACAGAGCAAGGCACAGCAGCAGTGCACCTGATGCTTTCTATCTGAAATTATCTAAGTGATGAGAGTCTCACAGACATTCAAGAGTCCAGGATGCCATTTCTTTGTCTGCATCTGCTACAGGCAACGTGGAAGTGAGAGGCGTGGATTTCCCACACCAAGCTGATACAGTTTAGTTAGGATCCTAGTTGCTTTCAGGCTTCTCTGAGGTCAATAGATCCAAGGTGACGTGAACCAGCCCCTAGCCGGGTCTCTCTCTTTCTACTTACCCCTACAGTAACTACACCTCTAAAATTGGTCTCATCCGTCTCCCAGTTACATGCCTAGTTCAGTGTGGCGAGGGAGGGTCTGCAGGTCGTATCCAGCAGATTTTAAAAGCATACAGCTTGGTTTTAGACAAAGGACCTGAGACTGATTGAACAAACCAGACTAAAGCAACCTTCCCCTGAGGAGGGGAAGTGGAGACGGAGATGCTGATCTCTTCTCCCTGGTATGCAGTGATAGGATGCATGTGAATGGTTCAAACCTGCACCAGGGGACGTTCAGATTGCACACTACGAAGCATTACTTTACCGAGAGGGTGGTCAAACACTGGAACAGGTTTCTAGAGAGGTGGTCAATGCCCCAAGCCTGTCAATGTTTAAGAGGCACTTGGACAACGTCCTTAATAACATGTTTTAGCTTTTGGTCAGCCCTGCAGTGATCAGGCAGTTGGATTGAATGGTCCTTGTAGGTCCCTTCCAACTGAAATATTCTAGTCTAGTCTAGTCTAGTCTAGTCTAGTCTATTCTTACTTCTGTTCTAATCCTACTTCTGTTCTATTCTTTTGTGTAAGTAGAAAGCCAGCTCTCAGCAGTGAGGACACAGAACAGCCAAGTATAAGCATAATACCCTAAGAACACCATGCAGATTCTTAGATTTTTCACCTCCATTGGTTTCTATGAAAACATTGAATGAAATCCAGAGCAAATGCTCTGCTTTAGACTCCAGCACTGTGGAGGTATTATGATTCACTCCACTGCATCAGTTTGCACAACGAAGCCCTCAGGGATTACATATGGGAGCAGAGGTTTTTAAATGGTTTTAAAATACTCTTCAAAACTTTAAGCAAATAGGCAGGTATGTATTGAGAAAGATTTTAAAAGTAAAGATCTGAAATAATTATCCCTTGGAATCTTGGCACCAGAACTGGATTCACTGCTAATATTCTTCTCACTGTTTCTCTGATAAGTCCTGCTATAACAGTCTCAAAGGACCACACTAAGCTGAAATAGTTGCTCTGTCTCTTCATCTTCTTTTTATGGGCCTTTTAACGTCTGTAGTACTTGTGGATGGAAACACGTAATGTGCAAACACTTGTTATGAATTACTATAGGGCTGTTAGTGGGACACATTGTCCTTCAAGACTTTTTGTCTTCGAAGACACATAGCACTGAAACATTTTCTCTTTTTTTTTTTCCCTCCACAGAAAAAGAAGTGCAAGTAAAGAAATACATATATTAGGTAATGCAGAAATGTAAATTTAAGTAAAAAAAAAAGACACCTATTAATCTAGATAAAGCCTGAAATCCCATTCTAGATAACTAAATAAATTTGTAAAGTGATATTAATATATCTAGTACTTACCAAAATAAGTCCCGAGATTAATGAGGAAGTGCCTGTCAGGGCAACGTAGAACTTGGGGGTTAATGTGTTCAAAAACATACTCACTGAAAAAGAAAAGAGAGGAAACCGTAAGTACAAGAGCAGGACATGTTCTCCATGTGTGTCCCCTCCTCCTTCCAACTGCTTTCCAGCTTCAGATAAATTATTACCTTAACTCTGATAAAAAGACAGTTTAAAGAACATCCAGTTCCATCTGCCCGACATGTGATAGAGCAGAGCATTAGACTGCCACATGCAGAATTTTGTTTCACAACAGAGTCAATTACAAGGCATTGGATAACAGTTGCAAACACATTAGGGTCTTTCCTATTCCAGCCAGTGGTCCATGGACACCAAGTTCAGGATTCCTGATGATATATGGAAGGCATTTTATTCTCTGCCTTTGCTACTACTCCATTACAGTCAGAAATCTTAGGAGCCCATCTCAATGTCCTGCATTTAACATTGTCTCAGTGTCCTGTATGATCTTGGTGAGTCTAACTGGAGAATTTTTTTAAGTCTTTTACTTCTCATCACCTTGGTTCCTCACTTGTAAAGTAGGAGATAAAAATATTTCCTTAACTCATTCCACTGCATTCAAGTTGGTGAACCACTCAGTATGAAAACAGTGAATAAATGCATAAAACAGATTAGGAAAAGCGGTTTTCTGATAATTAGGGGTGAATATCATGATAGCTGTCCAGATTATCTGGAATCTAGGGCAGAAGCAAAGCCAGACAAGCTGCAAGCAATGGCAATTCCATCTGAGTGGGCTTCTGGAAATTCAAAGGGCTTTCTTAGTCATAGCACATTTTGGAAGCTGCTGAGAGAATCACCAGGTAGTTGTGCTCAGCCTTCCACCCCACAGAAAATCCCTATGGCCTTAAGAAAATAAAATCATCTTTTTATAGGTTTTGGATCACTCTACAGAAGCTACTAGAGAGAACTGGAGCTCTTCCACTGAATTCTAGATATTTAAAGAAAACTCTCAAGTTCTCATCACCTCCATCTTCCACAAATGAAAATGTTCCCTATTAAACTACACGGAGGGTTAGAATATCTTCTGTATAAAAACCTACCAGTCTCATCCTTAACCAGTGCAAAAGTATTTCTCATACACATATACATACATACATATATACACATATACACACACATATATATGCTGACAATAGTTAGCAGGTAAATTTAAAAGGCTTGTAGAAGACTACCAAACAGTCATTAAAAAATGTTGCTAAAAGACCTGGATACATAGGTGGTTGTCCCTCAGTTCATTCTGTTCCCTTTAGAAATGACACTTACTGAAATTAAATAATTTGGAGCCAAAAAATGAAGAGAAGACAACAGCAGGATACAAATCATCAAACATATGATTAATTTTCCATGACCAGTAAAACAGAAAACTGTTTTCCAGAATGCATCACTGCAATTCAGTTGCTTTGTTTGGGGTTTGGCTGCACATTTTCTTTTTTCTTTTTCTTTTTTTTTTCCCTTGAAAAAACCATAAACTGTTAAAATGGAAGTATCATTTTCTGCTCCACTGGACTGGCACTAAGCACCAAGCTGATATAATAAAGAACTAGTTTGGTGGTTTTTAATGTCATCGTACATTTTCTTTCACAAATACGTTGGATGCTGTGTTCTCAGCTGGCATAAATCAGCACAACATTCCCAATTTTACTGTGTGCAGCACAGCCACACTGATTCATGCTGGCTCTGGCTCCATAGTTGGGATTTTCTCACATCTTATTTCTTTTATTCCCATTCCCATTCTTTCTTTTTTTTTCATGTCTAATACACACTGACTTTGAAATAGTAGTCCTTGCCTTCTCCACTCCCAGCACCTGCTAAGAAGGAAGAGGAATGTGTGACCAGCAGGTCCAGGGAGGTGATTATCCCCCTGTACTTGGCACTGGTGAGGCCGCACCTCGAGTACTGTGTTCAGTTCTGGGCCCCTCACTATAAGAAAGATGTTGAGATTCTGGAGCGTGTTCAGAGAAGAGCCACAAGGATGGTGACGGGTCTGGAGAACAAGCCTTATGAGGAGCGGCTGAGGGAACTGGGGTTGTTTAGCCTGGAGAAGAGAAGGCTGAGGGGAGACCTCATCACCACCTACAACTACCTAAAGGGAGGTTGTAGAGAGGTGGTGCTGGTCTTTTCTCCCAGGTGATGGAGGACAGAACAAGGGGAAATGGCACCAAGCTGTGCCAAGGGAGGTTCAGGTTAGAGATAAGGAGGAAGTTCTTTACTGAGAGGGTTGTCAGAGGCTGGAACAGGCTGCCCAGGGAGGTGGTGGAGTCACCATCCCTAGATGTATTTAAAGAGCGGGTAGACGAGGTACTTAGGGATATGGTTTAGTGGGTAGACAGGAACGGTTGGACGTGATGATCTCGGAGGTCTTTTCCAACCGAGCGATTCTGTGATTCTGTGACTCTGTGAAAGACTGAAATAGCTTTGGCTTCTACAAACCACCCATGGGTCCTTTAGAAGAAACATTCTTCATTCTGGAATGCAGATGTAAGCCAGAGACATAATCAAACCACAGCACTGGGAAAATTTCAGGCTGCCAGGGAAAGTACTTCCTCTGCTGGGGTCAGGGTATTCCTGAGGGGGAATGCGCTATGAAGGGATATAGAAGACCACGTCCCCCGTGTAGCACAGTGCTGCTGAGGTGCCAATGATAACATGAAAAGCAGGTAGCAGGAGACTTCGCAGAGATGCTTCCCCTTCCATTCCTCCACCATGGCGTCACAGCTCATGGAATGCTGGAATTTTTCCTATTAAACTGGAGACAATTTTCTATTACGCTGGAGGAAATTTGATGTCCAATGTTGTGAAGCCACCTGAACCTCCTGTGTTTTAGAAGATTCCAGGTAAGGATATCCACTGAACAAGGATACAGTCTAGTTGCTTTAAATTCCTATTGCCTGTTTCACTAAGAAATGCTGCAGAGAGAGCAAAGTTCATTAAGCAGTGAGGAGACATCCCTACTGACTGCCATCAATAACATTCGCTTTGGGAAATGCATCCCCATTTGGAAGAGCCCTCTCAACAAATTAGCTCCATGGAGCCCATCAATGAAGCAGAGTGAATGAGGCTCTTAAATGCTGTTAGCTTTTCTCTGTCACCACTTTTTCACAAGCAATGTATACTGATTTATAGACAAACCCTCAGATCTGAAAGGAGAGAGGATTTTATCTATCTGCCATTTGCACCAGTGTTACTGCTTGCTTCTTTGCTCGAATGCACACTGCTGCTACTTTAGGCTCTTTACTCCAGGCTGCCACAATTCTTCATTTTTACAGCTTAGTCATGGGAGCTGGCAAGGTGGACAGGTATGACACTGGGTGCTTTTAGACTGCATGGGCCAGACTCCCAGCTAAGTGGAACAGCTACAGCTGCACTCAGAGCTGCTTATCTGGGTTGTATCTCCCTAATCCTTTTGACGTTTCTTCTTCCCACTCATTAAATGCAAGAATCTTCTGTTCCGTTATGAAAACTGTCAACTTCTGCCAATTATTAACTACCCGCCCAGTCCCTTTGTCTCCATAAATATTATTAACAAAAGGAAACACTTTCTAATAAGAAACATATCTCTGAAACAGTAAAACTAAGCACTGGAGGATCTGTGGTCACGCTATTTTTATTCTGAAGTCAATGAGAATTCAGTCATTATTTCAGGGAAACTACATCAAGGCCTGGTTCTCATAATATTAATCCCAAAAGTAAAAATCAACCCACTTTTGGGTTATCTGATATATATCATTATCCAAAAGGGAAAATTTCTTTACAGACAGCGTTCTGACGCTGGAGAAATCACTCACATCCAGTGTCTCCGATCTGTAGTGGACTCGGTTTCCATCAGTGTGTTGCAGTAAACTAGAGCCATTAGATAATGCTAAATGTCCACCTGCCTAAATCTGCATAACAGTATTTTTCTTCTCTATTTCCATTTGATGAAGTAGCAAGATTGAAGAGCAGAGAGAGATTTCTGAGAAATTAGGGTTGAAGATACCAGCAGAAGATGACTGCAAAATAAAGAAGCCAAGTAGAATCACCAGTGAAAGGTGGTACTGCATGTCATTTCTTCTCAACTCATAACATGCCAATGTGTGCCTCATTATTTCTGTCCACAAAGGGAAGATGGTGCAGTTATTCATCTTGGAGTATCATCTCTTGTCTGTAACCAGGTAGGACTTGAAAAGGGCAACTAATGAGTATCTAGAGAAAGAAACCTGCCTGATGTTCCTACAGTGCCAACTCATTTGAAATTACTGTCAATTTCCAATTATTTCCACAGGCTTTTGATGATGAATGATTTATTTTAGGTGTGTTAGTAGAGATGATGGGATACAGTACAGCCTGTTTTTTTTAAGAAAACCAGCATGACCTATAAATGCTGTCTAAACAAGCCAAGCATGTCTGCTTCTGAGAGGCTCCTGGTGTTACAAAGACCCATCTCCCTCTTTCTTCTCTACTGCTCTCCTTTTAATCATGCTTGAGTCATCCAGAATAAAGGTACTATTTACACTTCCAAAGGTACCTAAGTTACACTGGTAAATCATTACATCTTATTGTATAATATCTAGGGAAGGAATTTTATTTCACTGTTAACTGTGCATGCTCACAGAGGTGAATTTACATCCTATTCAATTCACAGCAGACAAGCTAAGAAAGCACACAAGGCATATCCAATATTCCCTGTTGAGGTTAATCAAAAGAGGCATCTGAAACATTCTTGAAAGGCGATGCCACTTCATTCCTGTTTCATATGTTATTCATTGCCAACACTCGTGATTCATTCTGAACACGGGAATAAACACGAGAGGAAAACCCAGATATTTTTCAAGCAACAAAATCCTCAAATAATGTAAAATGCATCACTCAAGCTGATAAAACATTATGGAGCTTTACAAATTTCTTCAGGGACTTGCGGTGTTCAGATTTCAAGCACGTGAGGAACCACAGCAGGAGGGAAATACTGGGGTTAAGCTGCTCCAAGTATCATCATGCTGCTGTATCAGTTAATTACACTGGAAGATCGTTAGGGGAGGGAACATTGCAAA